ATGATACTCTATAACATATTAAAGAATATTTGGGGTGTTGGAGAATCTGGTATTGTAAATCAAAGCATCATCAGAAAAGCTAATCATATAATATTACCCCATTCCAAACTACCATTCCTCCATTTCCCCCCAAACTACTTCTTAAATCACAACCAAAACTTCGCCTTGAAGCCAAACATGATGCCTTAAGCTGTATTGATAACTTAGTCACACAGCACACACTCTCGCAAATTATTTACGCTGATGGTTCTGTTCACCAATCCACTGGTGCAGCTGGTAGTGCTGCTGTTGTCGTACAGAGTGATGGCTCTCTTAAAGAAATTGGAGCACGCATCAATAATTGGGCCTCTACCCTTCAGACAGAACTGTTTGCCATACTCCTTGCACTGAAATGCATCTATGTATCAAAGATTGACAGTTTAATTGTAACTGATTCTCTGTCATCCATAAATGCTCTCAACTCATTAAGCATAATCTTGTTGCATGCTTGTGTCAGAAGCCAGACACAGGTATGGTAGGATTGTGGACAGTGGAGTCAGAGTGCACATGCTGTGGATCCATCTCACATTGGTCTTCAGATGCATGATAGAACTGATAAATTGGCTAAGCTGTATGCTTTCAAAGAGGGAGTAGATTACAATTCTTGGCTTGTCAGGTAGTAGTTTGAGAACAATAATACGAAAAGAACTTCAACTGAATTTTATGGACTTAAGGCTCAGGGAGATTGACACCAGTGAGTCCATCTATCATCATTCTATCATGCAGGAGGAGCCACATGTCTATGGTGCATCCAACAAGATAAGCAGACTCTTGGATGTCACTACTGCCCGGCTCCGGCTGGGTTACAAGTATCTTTGGCAGGTTAAATCACCACCACCAGATGTAGACCAAACGAAATGTAAACTTTGCCAGATGGACTATTGTCACACCTTGCGTCATTATGTACTGGAGTGTGATAAAATTAATGAATTTAGAAACAACTCGCTCATAAATGTTCAAGAAATGGCAAAGTATTTTATCCACAGTGGTATATTACAGACCATTCTGGAGAAATACCCTGACTTTGCTAGCTGTAAATAAAGCATTACCACATGTGTGCATGTGTGTGTGTGTGTGTGTGTGTGTGTGTGTGTGTGTGTGTGTGTGTGTGTGTGTGTGTGTGTGTGTGTGTGTGTGTGTGTGTGTGTGTGTATGTGTGTGCACTCACCTAGTTGAGATATGTGTGTGCACTCACCTAGTTGAGATTGCAGGGGTCGAGTCCAAGCTCCTGTGTACTCACCTATTTGTACTCACCTATTTGTGGTTGCAGGGGTCGAGTCACAGCTCCTGGTCCCGCCTCTTCGCTGATTGCTACTAGGTCCTCTCTCTCCCTGCTCCATGAGCTCTATCATACCTCGCCTTAAAACTATGTATGGTTCCCGTGTGTGTGTGTGTGTGTATCATGTGGGGTTCGAACACGTGGATTGGGTAAAATAATACTCACGTAGGCTGGAAGTACTTATAATTGTAACTGAAAGTATGTGGAAGGGCGCCACAGCCGAACCTGCCTCTCTCTGCCCCTTGGCTAGACTGACTGAGGAGTGCCCATGGGCGAGGGGGCGCTTGAAATCCTGCTAGGTCAGCAACAATATGAATACAGCCAGTGATTCACGCAGAGACGGTTGGTAGTGAGTCATCTACTGGTACACTGGTTACTGGTAACTGGTTACTACTACTGAGAGCTCGGCGATGCTAACGTATGTCGTCCTGACATACAACTAATACAAACTAGTGAACACGTGGATTGGGTAAAATAATACTCACGTAGGCTGGAAGTACGTATAATTGTAACTGAAAGTATGTGGAAGGGCGCCACAGCCGAACCTGCCTCTCTCTGCCCCTTGGCTAGACTGACTAACTGACTGACTGAAGACGCAGCAGCAGCAGCAGCAGCAGCAGGAGCAGCAGAAGCTGTTGTGACACACATCTGACTGGCTGACTGACTAACTGACTGACTGAAAGACGTGTAACGATGCACACAGCATGGAGGAGCAGGTGGATGACAGGAGACAGGCTGGATGATAGGCTGACTTACGTTCACTTCCACAGTCTGGCTTACTAACTGGCTTAATTGCAAAATCCGGGTCAACCCCTTGGAGATTGAAGCAATTAGCACACGAACTAAGCCAGGAAGCTTGAAAAAACGGCTGCAACAGGCTTGCAGGCTACAGGGTGGAGGTTGTGAGGGGAGCGGCTAGCTACGGTTCACCTTTGACCCGCCGGCTACTCACAGTCTTCTAATGTCTTGAAATACCCTTAAAAAGCTTAAATCCACGCTCCACACCGTTGCCACCATTTATCATGTGGGGTTCGAACACGTGGATTGGGTAAAATAATACTCACGTAGGCTGGAAGTACGTATAATTGTAACTGAAAGTATGCGGAAGGGCGCCACAGCCGAACCTGCCTCTCTCTGCCCCTTGGCTAGACTGACTGAGGAGTGCCCATGGGCGAGGGGGCGCTTGAAATCCTGCTAGGTCAGCAACAATATGAATACAGCCAGTGATTCACGCAGAGACGATTGGTAGTGAGTCATCTACTGGTACACTGGTTACTGGTAACTGGTTACTACTACTGAGATGTGTGTGTGTGTGTGTGTGTGTGTGTGTGTGTGTGTGTGTGTGTGTGTGTGTGTGTGTGTGTGTGTGTTTGTGTGTGTGTTTGTGTGTGTGTTTGTGTGTGCGTTGTTGTGTATGAGTGTATATGAGTGTGTGTGTGTATGAGTGTGTGTGTGTGTATGAGTGTGTGTGTTGTGTGTGTATGAGTGTGTGTGCGTGTGTGTGTATGAGTTTGTGTATGTGTGTGTGTGTGTGTGTGTGTGTGTGTGTGTGTGTGTGTGTGTGTGTGTGTGGTGTGTGTGTGTGTGTGTTTATGTGTGTGTGTGTGTATGAATATTTGTATGTGTGTGTGTGTGTGTGTGACTCAACAATCAATATTTGCACCAATAACTCACTACAGTTGTGACCGGGTGTGGAAGTGTGAATTGCTCATTACACTATAATTTGTTCATGATTGTAGCCATGTATAAACGTAAGTAACCATTCTTACAGTATTCATTACCTTTGTAACTTGTGAGTTCATTACCTTTGTATCTTGTGAGTTCATTACCTTGTACCTAGTTCAGCCATCACAACTTTGGGAGCCCAGTCCCTGGACCCATTGTGTACCTCTGTAATCTGTAAATACCTTTGTAACTTGTCATGATTGTGACTAGACCTACCTGGAGTTCATTACCTTTGTAAATTGTGAGTTCATTACCTTTGTAAATTGTGAATTCATTACCTCTGTAGCTTGCTCAGCTATCAAAACTTTGGAGTCCAGTCCCTGGACCCATTATGTACCTCTGTAACCTTTTGACTACCGCCCACAGGATGGGTATGGGGTGCATAATAAACATATTAAACTAACTAACATATAATGTTTGGGCTACATTGGAATAGCATTTAGGAAAATATTAGAATATTGAATAAAGTTGGACTGAGGACATCCCGTTTTGAAGCTCCTAATTCAAAATCTTTAGTTACATTTCTATGTCCCGGAATAACACACAAGACTCTGTTTGACAAGTAGCCACTGATCCGGTGGAGAAGTCATCCTCCCGCATCCATTCTGGCAAATTCACCAATGATTACATGTCGGTTAGTCATATCAAAGGCAGATTTGAGGTCAAGGAAGGTACTGTAGGGGCTGTCAGTGGGTAGGGTGAGAAATGTGATTATGCAACGATGTTCACTTTCCATACGTGAAACAAATTTTTTTTTATTATGTGTAGGATAAAGGACCTTCCTCTCAGATGTGTTCTTACGTAAGCAACTAATAAGAGATATTGGGTGAAATGCATTTTATTGATTTGATTTTGGAATGGAAATGATGAGACTGTTGGCTCAAGATTTAGGAATCTTCCCAGTTGCATAGCTCATATTGTATAATTCTGGAAACGAAAAGAATTTCGAGTGCTAAACAGAACAACCTGGAGATGTTGTGATACCATCCTTCCCACAGGACGTGGATCTGCCTTTGTGGCAGTGCGGCATAGAGTTTAAATTCAATCAAAAGTGTGTTTTAATCATCTTCCATTATGAGCACAAAGCAAACGAGTCTCTCTGTTATATTTGGTATTTAATTTTGTCTGTGGTAATGGGTATATTGTGTTATAGCTGTTTGGAAGATGAGAGTACAAGACCTGACCAGTCCTGTCACTCTTAATTCTGTTTATAATGAGATTAATCAGTCTGAGCTGCGAGACATTAATTAATAGAGCGTTTTAGTTTAATATGTTTATTATGCACCCCATACCCATGGTGTGGGCGGTACTCACCCCATACCCATGGTGTGGGCGGTACTCACCCCATACCCATGGTGTGGGCGGAAGTCACAGGATTATAGAGGTACATAATGGGTCCAGGGACTGGTGATATCACAATATGCAGAACAACCACTGTGATAAAAAAGTATCGGTATTCTCATCAATGTTTTTGAGATTTTTACGTATTTGTAGTCCAGAAGAAATCCCCAAAATTTATGAAATAGCTAATGATCTAAAATACCCAAGAAACTTAATTGATAAATCTTTTAAAATAACTAGAAATACTTTTTACAATTCAAAAAAGGGACAACCAACCTTATTTAACTAGAGCGACGAGGATATTGTTAAGCATTCCATTTAAATAGTTATAGGAGCTTCAAAACCTTTCTTTGTATGCTTCCAGCAGGTCTGGAGTTGCTTTTAAATACTGAACAAGGATTACGAGTTCTAACTCAGTTTTTTTTTAAGGAAAGTGACTTATACTCAACTGTTATAAAATACATTAAATTATTAATACGTTGCTACAAAAACACGGGCAAGAATGTGATAAATGTAATCACTCCACACACAAAAAAATCCACCTCGTTACTAGTTTTTACATTTTATTCAAACAATATAATGTATATCAAAATGTGTAATTATATAATGATTTTTTTAATCTGGAACTGTGTGTGTGTTGATAAACATATTGGAAACTTGATATCAGATAAGGAGCCAGGTATATAAATGTGTGTTTCTGGGGAATAAAACATACACACACATACACAATCAGCAGTCATGAAGGCAGCTTTCTTGCTTCTGCTTGCAGCCGTAGGTGAGTTTTTTTCCTCCATAACTATGATTAGTTGGTGGAAATGTAATGTACATTAATATTGACCAGCTTTCTCGTCCACTGACTACCAGCTTGCGACAGCAGGAGGCGTAGTACCCAGGGCATAAATACCACACATGTTAAAATGAGTACAATAAGTACACTAAAAGATAAATCAATAAGTATAAATAATCCATGATTAAAACAAACTTAAATATAAAGATAGGCTACCAACAGCTCTGTCTTCAAGAGGCAATTTAAGAAGTTCTCACAGACTGTTTTTAGTCAGACGGGCTATGCTACCTATGTTGGGTTACGGGCTGCGAGCACCAATCATTAAGAGACCTGGTCTGAGACCTGGCCGCAGGGCTATGATCCCCGGGACTCAGCAACACAACAAGGTAGACCTCGGGTAGAACAGATACCATATCCAACAGCTTTTCTCAGAACAAGAAAGAATGCGTAGTTTTGATGTTTTTCTTACCTTGGCTGTTATTATATAAGGAAGAACAAGTCACGATGACGCGACCGGTGAGTCTGTATAGTTTTCCTGTAGTCTTATTGTCAGAACACATACTGTGAAAGTTAAGACATATGTGCAACATCTGGATAGCTTTATTGTAGACGTTTCGCCATCCAGTGGCTTTATCAATACAGATTCTAGGATATGTGTCCTAGAATCTGTATTGATAAAGTCACTGGATGGCGAAACGTCTACAATAAAGATATCCAGATGTTGCACATGTGTCTTAACTTTCATATTGTCGGTATTTTATACCTTTCTTGCACAGAACACATACTGTTGCACTTATGACTGGTTGTAGCTGCTAAAATGATAATAAATTTGTGTTGCAGGAGCCTACGGCCAGTCATGCTACGGTGCTTGTGGTATTTTCGACACTAACCTTGAGTGTCAGTGTAACGTTGCTTGCACTGACTACGGTGACTGCTGCGAGGACTACACCGAGATCTGCATGTCGTGTGCTGACCGCTGTGGGGAAGAGTACTTAGACACCAAGCCTTGTCAGTGTAACGAGGGTTGTCCTGATTATGAAGACTGTTGTAGTGACTTTGAGGAGCTCTGTG